ATAGAAATTACCAAGTTTACGAAAGTGATTTATCGCGAATCCGGGGACACCCGGATCAAGATGATAAATCAAGATGAGAGAGATAATATGCACGAACGTATTATTGTTTCTATAGCGGAGAAGAACTTTCGAGCCTTGGTGGTCGTTTCTCGAAATCATCTGCCGAGTGAGAAGTTATACTTCAACGACGGAAAGAACACATGCGATTAACGGCACGCAGAAGGTATTTGGAAAAGTATCGGAAATCCGAGTTTGATTTGACAAATTCGCAAATAACGAATACTGAAAATGTTGAGAATACTACATCCTAAATATAAGCAGAAATAAGGCCGGTTAATATGATTTCCAATTAAAATTATACGCAGAGCTCCATAGTTGACATGAAATTGACAGAATGTACGTTTTCTTATTTGTTTTCTCTCGGATGTGACACCATAAAACATGCGTAACAAGATTACGGAACGTACAACATGGTGCATACCACTTTTGCTGATGACTGATTATTAAATACAGCGAGAGCATATCGAGAGATCTCTTCATGATCTATCCAACAGTTTGTGCTCTTAACGTTCTCAAAAGAAATTAAGTCAAGAGAGTCGTAAGAGATTAGGTGCGACATTTAAGAATAGGTTGTGAACGATATACTCATCAACGATTTTTTAATTTTATCCGACGATTAGTATTGAATCAATACAATCAATACCATCAAGTTATGACAAGAGGTATAATGAGGCGACTAAATTATAATACAACACGTTGAAATTTTTACGTAATTTATTTAAATATCACACCGGCGGCGTTTTGACAAAAATTGTTGGAGAATGACCTCATACCGGGTTATTCGATTTTGAAAATTGAAATAAAGCTGCATCATCGTCCACTTTCTAACAGATAAGAATCTTTGTTTCATAACTTTTTATTTTTCTCATATGTATAATTTGCTAAAAAATTCTTAATAAATTTATGAATAAATAACAAGGTAATTTATGTATAAGATATATTAACAAACGTTTATTATATCAGCTCGTAATTAGCAGAAATTATTTTTTTACTTTATATTTTCTTTTATGAAATATACTATACAAGTAAAAAAGTAAAATCAGGCAAGCTTTCTTGCCATTCGGACCGATCAAATCCATCAATATGTCTTGGGATCCCGTTACGCAGAAGCACAAGGGCTTCGCCTTTGTCGAATACGAGATACCCGAGGCCGCGCAACTTGCTTTGGAGCAAATGAACGGTGTCATGATCGGTGGCCGCAACATCAAGCAGGACGTACCTATATAACGAATTTCCTGTCCCCCAGCAATCCTATCATCCCGCCGGAGGTCGGCAAATTTTTATTTAGTTCTGTTCAATATTCTGTTCTCGCAAATAATATTCAAAGATTCGCGGCAAATTGGTCGTCGAGTTCTAGACGGCGTTCCAATCTCTTAAACAACATTCATTTAGTTTTTTGGTTACTATGGAGTTGTTGATCCCCGCTCCCTTAGTAACGTTTTCTCTCCTCGAAGCCTTTAGTCAATACTACGAATTAAAACGAGTTTCCAAAGGCTGAGTTTTCTGAGACGAGTCTCAATCAGTTTACAATTGATTGTGAGGAAGGATCCTTTCAACGTCGGTTTACAACCACGTACTAATGTAAGACGAGTGCCTTTTGTAAAGATCTTTCTGCGGCGTTTACAACTGGTTTCCTGCAACGGAATTTACGAAAGACGAAACGTTCTTAAGGCTTGAACAAGTTGGATGAAACTACGTTTCAAAACGGCATCACCACTGCAATTTTGGTGACGTACATACACTGTCCAACGGGACATTTGCAAGTTACATTCTTTCTGCGGATCAGGGTGCTTTCTCGTCCTCATATAGGTGATGGATGCAATTCCTACCTAGAGGACCGATCCGACAGATATTCTTTAATTTAATTCTAATCTCCACTTTCCAATGTTCATTTTGTTCTTCATCAAGTATTGTTGCGAAAAGTGCGTTTAAAGCAGTTAATTTTATTTGGTTATAGCCATTCCGATATTTATATATTACCCAATTAATTCAAAATAATCAATAAATCTTAATTACTTCGTAAATTCGTTGTGTTCCTTTTTCATTTCTGCTGTTCATTTAATTTAAAGTTAATATATTTACAATAATCTATACAAGTTCTTTATCCAATATTTATGATCTTCGAGCGAACTGCGTCTGAATTGCAGTTTGCTCGAAAATCCTAATATATTAGTATACTTTTTCTATGTATACTTTACTTTGAGTTCACTTTATCGAGTTACATCCCGTCACACATAGTTTATATTTTGTACATTTAAAAAGCTAAACAATACTAAAACTGTTAAAATCGTTTATTTAAATAGTTTCGCAATAATGTTGACGCAGCGCTAGAGAATACGTCTTACAGATTACCTCCTTCTCATATTTGTCTTAGGTCGTAGGACGTCCGTCCAACATGCCACAGGCGCAATCGGTGATCGATGAGATCACCGAGGAGAGCAAGCACTACAATCGCATTTATATCGCGTCGATACACCAAGCCTTAACAGAAGACGACATCAAGTCAGTCTTCGAGGCATTCGGGCCGATCACGTACTGCAAGCTCGCACAAGGTAGCTCGCCGCATCGACACAAAGGATACGGCTTTATCGAGTACGAGACAATGCAAGCTGCGCTAGAGGCTATCGCCTCTATGAACTTGTTCGATCTGGGTGGCCAGTATTTGAGAGTAGGAAGAGCCATAACGCCGCCGAACGCGCTCATGGGACCACCCAGCGGTACCAGCACGATGCCGACCGCGGCCGCTGTGGCCGCAGCAGCCGCGACGGCCAAGATTCAAGCGATGGACGCGGTTGCTAGTAACGCAGTTGCGTTAGGTCTCACTAAACTCGGGGCTGCCGCACCACCCATCCTGAATCAGAGTTCGTAATTCTCTCATCTACATTCAATTCAAATGTCGCGGGCAGTGAACTTTATACTACACTGGAACACCTACTGCCCTCTTGAAGAAGATAGATGGAGTGGGACAGACAAACGGTTTATATTTCTGTCTCTTTCTAGTAATTCTGATATTGTACACAGTATTTTGTACGTCTCACCTCACATAAGCGAGATAGAAATCGCGAAATAGAAAATCGTTGACCAATCGGAATTACTAGAAGAAGACAATGGGATCATTTGTTTCTCTCTCTCTCTCTGTCTTCTTCAAGAAGACAGTAGGTCTCCGGTATAAAGTTGACTGATTATGGGAGAAAGGAACAGTTGATCTTGCGCTTACGTCTTCGTCCTTATTTCTGTTACAGCGCTTCCTGGCGTAGTGCGGCCCACTATAGCTCCCACGCCAATAATGGCACCACCAACAGTAGCAACGGTAGCGCCAGTGATACCTCCACCTGGCATAGCCATACCGCAAACCTTAACGCGACCGCCCGCTATTATCCAACCGATTCCTGGTCAACCCGTTGTTATACCACCTCCTGCTGTTGTTGCGCCTACGATTGTTGGCACGCCAGTCGTAAGTATCCTACCATTGTACCAGAACAAAGAGCATCGAAATAAAAGAAATATTGTCGACGTGTATGAAAAAAAAATCCTGATCTTGCTCGTTAGATACCAGTGACAACAACTGCGAATTCCGACATTATGAGGCGAGCGCAGGAACAAGCGGCTCATCAGAAACAACAGGAAGAATTGCAGAAGAAACTCTTAGAGGAGACGGAACCACAGACGTTGCAGCAACAGGAGAATATGTCAATCAAGGGCCAGAGTGCGCGTCATCTCGTCATGCATCTCTCCTGCAAAGAAAACAGAATGATTATCCAATTTAAAGAAACAGCGATTAATTTTGTAACTCTTGATGTCGTCCAGACATAAGAAGTAATGATAGACTTACAGGTTTTAATAAGCAATAAACTTTTAACAATTTTATAAATAATGATTGTGTTATTTCTAAAAATAATAAATCATACCTCGGACCATATTTTATATCTTGAACCTTTCCAAAGAACTTAAGAAACTAACCTGTACCACACTTGAAGAATAGGGCCCCATATAAATTGCAAGGCGAGAGAGATATACATGTATATATATGTATATGTATTGTCTTGGAATTAATGGTGTCGTTTTAACAAGCCATGTTTTTTTATTTTCTTTGAAAGAACATACGATATCATTAATTATAGAGGTTAACATACAAAAAATTATTGACAGGCAATCATCCGAGCTCGTCTCAAGCACGTTTCAAGACTTTCAAGCACGATCTTTGTCGAGACGTTCTTAAGACCGAAAACCGTCTCAAGTTAGCTTCACATACATAAATTCGTCTTGAGAACGCCTTGACTAAGACCGTGCTTAAGAACACGACTTCGTAAATGTCAGAAAATTTAACCTATCCCAATATATCCTAATTCCATGAATTTATATGAAAAATTTTTTTAAGTAAACAATTTACTGATTTATAATTCTATCTATAATTATGTATACAGTTAGTGTATAGTCATACATAATTAGATATAATTGTAAATGAGCAAGTTCTTCCTTGTAAACAATTTTTTATTATGTTTTTGTGCATAAGCATGTATGAATATAACAGAATTATATACAATTATATATCAAATATATACGTGTTTTTACATGTTTTGTATATTTCTATTATATTTTTTACAATTATATCTATATATATATATATACATGTATACATGTTTATGTATAAAAAAATTAATAGCGGGATTACATATATATGAAAGATTGATTATCCTCCAGTCTATCATAGAGGATCAGACAAGAGTATTTCATTGATCGTACGTGAAATGTAATTATACATACCTTTCCACGTGTGATTAGATTAAATGCGGTTTTTTAAACCCATTCCGATAAAAAATTGTCATACATACGCATGCCTAAATATAAAGTTTTATGTAACATTCCATAAATTTATATTTAAAAAATTTTATAGGAAATAATTTGCTCATTTATAATTATATCTAATTATGTATACAGTTAATATATGTATAGTCATATATAATTAGATATAATTATAAATGAACAAATTATTCCCTTTACAAATTGTTTTATATAAATTTGTAGAATTATATAGAATTACAAAGACTTATATAGAAATACACAATATAAAAACATTTATGGACATATTTCATATATAATTTTATATAATTCTATATATATAATATTTATTCATGCTTATACATTAAACATTTTGTATCGGGTATTAAAAGTGATGTCAATGTGTTTAATTCCTCTAAACAGCAAATGGAAATGATCATTTACCCTTTTTACATAAAAAAATAAAAATATTACCAATATTATATTAAGCTTGATTTTTAAATATATTTATTTATATTTAACAGTGTTTAGCATTTCTCGAGTCCCCAAGCATTTCCTTTACAAGATTTTCACTTGCACCTTGTTGTAATCTTCTTTCAATGCTAAATAAGTATAGGTCGCACCCAATAGTTTCGTTTCTTTTTATTATTTGCATTTATTTCAGAAATTCTGTACAATGCATATAACTTTGCAATCTTGTGGCGTATGTCCTGTTTTTTAAATGCACACAAACTTT